AACATACAGGGCACAGCAACATTCGGACATGATGCAGGAGAACCAGTGCAAGAGTGAACATGTCATTTGCTTGACTGTGAGTGTGCATGTGGGCTTGCTCCAGCATCCAGTCTGCAATGCGCGCAACCAAGACAACCACAACACCACCTGGTGCGGTAACCACGCACCTCAACAATGCCAAGGGTGCCAACAGCCCTCCCAGACAGCACGGCGACACTATCGACACGACACCACACAAGCACACATGGCCTCCAACACCCCAACCGCTTCAATGCTATGTTGGAGACGGAAAAGCTATTGGAAAAGATCATCACCCCAGGGAAGCCTGAGGCACAAAGCAGAAACCAATGGAAAGCACTGGAACCAGCCTTTGTGCGCAAATTTAAAACCCCCGTGGAGCAGCGGCAAGCAGACGTCATTGGACACCTTGGCCCCCAACTAACACACAGTCACACATGCATCACACAGACACAAGATGAGGGCAAGAGAGCACGTGCAAGAGTGAACATGTCGACCAGTTGACTGTGAGTTTGCGTGTGGACCTGCTTGCAGTGTCAGTCAGTGCTGCACGATTGACCAACCACACCCGCCGCAGATGAACACCCTGAACAATTTCACCAGAGATCACACCGACAATGCTCCGAGATGGCCCGCATTCACAAACCGCCACATCACCACCACCGACTCAGCAACGCAACCGGACGAGGAGCCATGACACGTTTCTGCCCTTGCAGCATGGAAAGCATAGCATGAGGGATCGGATAGCGCGACTCCAGTCTCAGCCTTCAGCATCTACAGCGACAAGTACCTTCTACAATGGTTGCAGACCAATATCTCAAGCCTGACACCGCTAACACTTGATGCAAGCTGGCACTGACACGTGCCCACAGCAACCAGTGCAGAAAAATACCTGCGCAAGGCCAGAGCATACCTGCGATATGTGGCAGGCACATCCATACCAGCAGCCGTCACCTCACCTCTAGGCACCTCACGAACCATAGTCCGCGTCAACCAATGGTTGTGCTGACGATGGCCGTGAGGCGCGCTGTGTTGGCTGCTGGGATAGCGCTGAGCTTGACTCGTGGATTGGGGCACGGTGCGCAAGGGCAGGATCTTCCTCTCTCTGGTGACGACTTGGAGCATGTGAGCCTTATGGAGACGGCGCCATGGCGAGTGGCGAGAAGATGGGCAGCCACGGCAGGCAGCTCGAGCACCAGGCCGACCGTGGTGACGCATAGCGCAAGAACCTTCCCAACGCTCAGTGACCGCGCGGAGCCGGGCGACAACCCAGGAGAAGCAGGAGAAGCAGAGGAGCCGGCCGCCCAGCGAGAGGCAGAGGGAGAAGAGCCACACGCTGAAGGGGCAGCTGAGAGAGAGACCGACTTTCTCACAGCAGAGGACGTGGAGAACCTGGAAAGGATCACTCCGACACCCCAGGAGTGCAGACTCCTCTGGGCGGGACTCCTCGAAATTCAAGATGAAGAAGCCATGCAAGAGGATACGACCAGGGCCAGCCAGACACGTGTGTAGAATCCGGGGACTGCTGCATGGACGATCCACCGTGGGGCTGCTGAGACTGGGACTGGCACTGCCGAGCCTGCTCAATGGGGTCCACGAAGCAGTGGTGGAGGAGATCGACATGGTGTTGCACAGCAGAGACGAGCGCAGAGGAACGAAGAGGAATAGAGAGGAAGGCGGCGCAGGGGAAGGAGAAGAGGAAGAAGTGGAAGTGGAAGAAGATGCGGAGGTCGAGCCGCACCGTGATACAGCAGCCCTGATGCAAACCAGGAGAACCGGGCAGGGCAGACCTACACCCAAGGAGGAATCCTGGCGCCCTCTCACGAGGTCGGAAAAGAAGCGCATTGCAATGGTGGTCAGAGCCTTGCTCAAGTTTCAGGACAAGGCTGAACCTTCACTCACAGTGTTGGCCTTCGTTGACGAGCCGCCCACAATGTGTGACAGCGGCCAGGGCCCTGAAGAAGAGCGACCTCCAGGTTTCGCTCGGGGAACTGCGACCTGCCCTGATCCGCTGGCTGTGGGCCACGCCCAGACAACACGTCCCTGCAGCCATTGAAGTGATTTTTGGAGTGCCGGGACGAACGCACCAAGATCAGGCAGCGGTGCAGGCTGCCGCCAGACAGCTGCAGTCGGAAGTAGAAGCCTACTGGGATTGTGGAGGAGGCTCTTAAGATCGCCATGGAGGGCCAGGGCAAGGCGGCGATCCACAAGGCCCTCACCAAGCTACGTCATGCGAGAAGACCGTCTTTAGGAGAGGGAAAAGACAAAAAGCACCAGATGACGTTGCTGGACGCTTGGGAATCAACGCCGCCTGGCCGAAGTGATGGCACGGACTGGGTGCAGCAACATGAAGACTCGAGCACCCTAGGAGCCCGTACACAACTATTGGGGTTACAGGAGGCCTGGCCCACTCTCGACCAAGCTGATCGAAGAACCATCCTGGATGCCATCCTCAGCAACTTGCCCCGGGACCGGGTACGATAACAGGCGATCAGGATCGCTGAGATCTATAACCACATAGCCGAGCGGGACACGCCGCAAACCATAGTCACGCTTCGAGTGGCCTTGCGTCAACGGCAGCCGGACCAGGGAGATCAAGCAGCAAACCAGCGGAGCGAGGAACAGTCCAGTTCGTCAACAGATGAGACGGACAGGGAGTCCAGAGGAGCGGCCGCATACAACTCTATGGAGCGAAGACCGAAGCGCAGCAGGAGGCAGGGAGTCAAGGACACCCCGAAACCGAGTCAGGCGCCTGAGGTTGTGGACCATGAAGCGACCGCCCAACCATACAATCCCCCCCGGCGAGAAGAAGCACGGGGGGTTTGGCTTGGAATTTCTCGCGTCTCGATCCTCTGGATTACCCGACCCATGACTGCGAACGGGGCTCGGAGCAGCGCTCCAAGGAAGGCGTAAGGCCTTCCTAGCGCCGGCAGAAGAAGCAGAGAGCCTTTAAGCAGCGCCCCAGACAGTAGAACAACGTTTCACAGTGCACCAGCAAAACAGGGGAAGCCCCACAACATAATCATTACTAACTCCATGCACCCTCTCTTTTAACCCTCAAGACCATAGCAAGGTTTTGCAAATCTCCCCACAGACAACAGTTTACTTTTCACCAGCGGTACCTTTGCCAACATTACAGGGTTTTAGTCTCTCAGTCCCGCCCCGTACGAATGCTTAATCAAAATGCTAAGTTGAAGACTGTACCACGTGTGGGGAGCAGGACCACGCAAGCACCGCGTAGATGTTCCTTCACTTGTATACTGAAGTGTTGTTTTCACATCTACGGGGCGCAGAGGGGTGAGTTTGTAAAAAGCCAGACCCAACATTGGCTGGGCAAGGATGCCCGGGGTGGCCCTCCAGCCACTCCACAGCCCTCACCAAAGAAAGAAAGAAAGCCTTATTAAAGCCGGGAACCAGTGCAAATCTGAAAGAGTGGTGCTCTACTCTTTGATTTTCTGTCGCCGCCATAATCAGCAACCCCTGAGAGCGGTCCCTCCTCAATTTAACCTTGAGAAATGATGTTCTATACTTCAGTATGCCGTGACTTCGGACGCTGAAGATTCAGATATGAACTCGCGCTCTCGAGGACTCGAGGCTTGTCTGTAGCATGCAATTCACTATGTGAACCTCCTGAGCCGTAGTTGTGTTGCCTGGGAGAAAGAAGGCTTTTGGGCCAGAACAAGGCACACGCTGCTTTTGCTGGGAGAAAGACACTTTTGTTTTCCAGGGGGCACCCACGTTGTACCGCAATGGGAAGTGGTGATGATCCCGCGTAATTCTTGTATAGTTGAACGTAATGTAGACCCAGAACCTGACTGTGCGGGTCGAGATTTTTGCCGATCATTTTGAGGAACCCAGTCACTGGAACCAATGATGATTTGTTCCGCTTCTATCTAGGTAACTCGTTGGATTACGGATTGGGTACTTGGTCTATAATTACACTTGTTGAGAGACTGAATCCCCTCTGCATGAAAGCAAACGCTGGAGCCGATTATGTGTACTATGACTCTCTTGGCGTTTGCCTCGTTTGCCCTTCTAATGGCAGTCGACTTGCTAAGCATATCTCTCATGTTTGACGTTTTCTGGAAAGGATTGAGCGACAGGATGCGACAGGCCGCTGTTTCGCACAGACCGAACTCGAACCATGCTCAAGCGGGGGGCCTGCAGGCCGGTGGGGCTCGCCTCATCATCCCCGTACAGCAAAGCAAAGCAAAGCAAAGAAGGCAGCACGACATATTTCAAAGCCAGCTTGAGCAGGGAGGAAACCAATAGAGGGTCGAACGGAGGGGTAAAAAAGCAGTGGGGCAGCTGGAGGGCACGCTTAGGGAGAGTTCGGCTCCCGTTCTCTTATGGCTCTGGACCTCGCTGGTACCGAGCATCAGCATGCAGAACGTGCAGGCTAGCGGGTGCAACCCCTATTCCTCAAAGAGGAAATGTAGCCTAGAGAGTCATTCTTGGTCTTTGGTTTTGGTGCACGATGAACGATGTGGTGATAGGTTAGCAGAGAGCGGGCTTGATCAATGGGAGAAGCTGCTTTTGGATCCTGTGTGCCCTGCATGCTTCGAGCCAAGCGGGTTGGCAGATAAGCGCCTTCAGTCCATTGCTTGGAAAGACGATGGTCCGCATCACTTGCTTGCGCCAGCCTTGGACAGAGGGACTGGCTCCAGCATGGTGTCTAGCGTGGTGTGAAAACGTTGGAGTCAATGGGTTGCCCACCTTTGAAAAGATTTTTCTTTAGCAAAACCAATGGAATTGGTCTTCAGTCGTACTTGACGGAGGGATCAATGCGACATGCTGCATTGGCTTGCGCTGGGCTCGTCCTGACTGGGAGAAGAAAGGAGAAAGCAAAGACGAAGAAACAGAACCAAGACAGCAGCAAAGTCTCACTCGGACGTATTAGTGAAAACATGTAGAGACTCTAGCAAAAGTCTTAGCAAAGTAGCACAGGTCCTTGGCTCTTCATGACTACAAGTGTAGCTCAGGTCACCCGACTTGCTTGTGGGCATATCTTCCATGCCACTTGGACAGAATGCCATGTAGCGCAGCTATAGGCACCTGGTGAGCGCCTCATGATTAGAACGAATGGTGTGCTACGTTTCTTGAGGCTGCCTGCATCAAGAACTGGCTTGTCGATGCTGCTCACGACACATGCCCTTATCGCTGCCATGAAGATCCTTTGGACTTGGACACTCGACGAGGAAATCAAGCCAAGGCATGGCTCAGGTAAGGCTCATACTGGGCAATTCAAAGCGACCTCACCCCGACCTCACCCTAAATGGTGGTTGATATAGGGAAGAATACCAAGATGGCCTTAAATTGGGAATTGAAATCAGTCTAACTTACCTGTCATAGAAAACCAGTCCTTGGTTGTTCCTTCTGGGTTAAAAGATTGCAGGAGCAACCCTTGGAAGACCGTCAGAGTGTCCCCTGAAAACACTGGAAGTCTGCACAAGCTCTCAAACATTAGAAGCTGAATGTCACACGTAGATTCACGTAGAGGGGTGAGAGGCAAATGGGTGAGAGCCGAGAGTGGTGTGCAAGCTCAGGTGGAAGCATCAGAAGAACCAGATTCGAACAGAGTTGAGCCTTAGGCCTCAGGCCACCCTGCATAGAGCAGGCGATGTACCTGCGATTCACTTGTAGTTCGGTGAGCTTTGCTGCTTGGCACCCCTGGATCCCTCCAGTCATGTACAGGTGCATGCCAAAGACAGCTGGGCCTCATCAGCAGAGAAACCTTTTTAGCCTGTCGCAGCCAAGGGTTCTACCTTTGTTAGACAACCGCAGCTATAGGATATTCCTTGCTTTGGCAAGCATCAGAGCCAAGCTCCAAGCTCCAGTATTCTTCTGCAGCCTGCTGAGCATCTTGACATTTGTGTTGTGGACAGCAGGCTGCAGCATTATTTTAAGCAGCACTGGCTAGCACTCGTTGGATTTGCAAGCCATTGCTCTTCCAGGAGGGCCAGATTTAGAGCATGCAGCTCTTGGGAGGCAACCATATCCGTCTGAATAAGCAAACGTAGCCATGTTTGCTCAGAAATTGTGTGCGCTTGGTTTCCTCTGATGCTTTCAGCCATGATGTTTGAGTAAACGTTCGTGGCTCATACATACGTGCGCTGGCCAATAATTTGAAGGGCGCTGTTGCTTCAAAAGTGCCCGCTCCCTTCGCGGCCGCAGTGTTGCGTGGTAGTATTGAAGCTTCTCGTCGTTTTTCCAGTTTCAACCAGAGGCCACTGCTGATGCAGGCTTTGCGCGAGAGGAGGCTTCTTTCGTAAGGTTGTGGAAATACTTAGAAGCTATACAACGAAATGAGTTCAGGGATTGACCTCCAGATGCTGACTTAATCACAAGGCAATTGTCATCTCAGTGCAACGCAGGGGCAATCTCTCGGCAAGCTCTTGCAGCTGGTCATGGCTGAGGCTCGGCCTTCAGAAGCAGCTTCCCATTACCTCTGTGAGCCATAGTCTAAACTCCTTAAAGGTGGCTATGTAAGGGATTCTATGGGGTCTATTGAGGGGGAATCTAGGAGTTTAGACGATGGTTCCTGTGAAGTTTGTACCCGGTGGTACAGTTAAAGCGGTTTGCCTTACCCAGAAAATGCCACTGGACCCATTTTTTTTAAGAGCAAAGGATTTGAGGGCGTCAACGCAATCCATTTTGCAGTGCTTCCAGGGCCTGATCAACTCATTTTACAATAGCATCTTGTTGTGTCAGTTTAAGCCTACATTAATATCTGATCTTAGGTCCGATATTGCATCATCATATTCTGGGTGCTCTGCTGAACCTCATTAAGCCTCCACTTCTTTGTAAAAAGTGTGCTGGTCCCAACCCTTCTCGCCCCAGTCTATCCAGGATTCTAAAGTTCTAAAGAGGTCAGGGTCGCGGAAATTCCCCTTTGAATCGGGCAAGGCCCTTTTTTTACTTTACAGGGGCCTCTTGCCCGCGCTCAACCGTTTTACCAGCAAAATGAGGAGTCACAGGCGTCCCCCTGAACGCAGAGGCGGATGCCTTCGGTGGACTGGTGGTGTTTGAATAGGATAGCTTTCAATTACGGGAAGATTCCCCAGCTGGATGCCGACATCGTGTATCCAATAACTTTTAGTGTGACGTTGTCTGTGTGAGAGAAAAATGCCAGGGTGTCATCCATCATGAGAATCACCACGCGGACCTCTTTGACTTGCTGCTGGCAAAGCGCCTGGTGATGTTTGAAGTGATGGTAACTGCATGTTTCTGTGTGTGCAAGCCTTGACAGCTGTCCGAAATCCAGGCGCTGCAACAAGTTGAGTCAGGCATGGCTCATGTTGCTTTCCCGGTGGTTAGTGATGGGTATTTGCAAATGGCTTGGTCACTTGCAGACAGCGCTGCCTGACCGAAATTTCGAGATTATGACAGATGGTGTTTTGCCTGGATGCAACAGTAGAAAGACGGTCTGCAGCAGGCCTTGCTGAAGGTGATGTGGCCTTCATGAAAACCCTTGCCGACACCAAGGCCTTAAGATCCCTGTCGTAGCTTGACATTTGAGAGACGAAAGATCTAGCGTGGTGAGTTTGCTTCGCTTGCAGAACCTGGCCAGGTACGCTTGCAGGTCCTGCTCTGCGAGACAGCTCCCCTGCGTGTGCAACCTGCTCGGCTGATTGAGCTCATGGAGGCGCCAGTTGCAACCACTGCTGATGGCCCTGAGCCATGCAAGTCAGCGTTCTACCCCTTGCTACCTGTGTCCTCTCGCAATTCAACCCTCAAGCAGATCTTGGGAAGATCTGGCGAATGGCGTGTGGGCCGTAGCGTGCCAGCTAGCTAGCCAAGCAGAGTCTGCCAGGTAAGTGGCTCGACTGGGTTTGGAAACCAAGGAACAGAGCTGCTGTCAGCGATTGCAGAGGGAATTCTCTCGCATTCGCAGGCTGAGACAAGAGAAGCGGCTTTCAGCGCAGTGTCACGACACGGTAGTCTGTACGGTTGAAAACGTGGACAGATCCATGGCACACTTTGGTAGGAACTGGGACCAGCTGGCGGCTTCCTCAGACGTGCCAGCATCTGCCGATCATGGGCTGGTGAAATCCTGCAGACATTCATCCGCGCCGGCCAGGTATCGCATCAGCTCTCCATGCCCTATCCAGGCAGGGGAGAGCCATTTTGAAAGACACAGGACAGTAAAACGGCTTCCGCTCGTACTTTCCGTCCTCAAATCAAGAGTTGCCTTGCAGGCTTGGCACTTTGGCCAGTGACAAAGACGTGCTCCAAAGCGAGCTTGAAGGCCGGGCACAGCTGTTGCTTTCTGACGGAGCTACCTTTGTTGTAAGCCATTGCGCGCTTGGAAGGTGAAGTAGTGAGCAGCATCCCCCAGGCCAGAATGCAACTTCCTCAGCGGCTTGGCACATCTTCTCTGGCCCAGGTTCCCCATCGAGAGCCCAGCCGGCTGCCGGAACTGATCTTGCCACAGTTTGTGGGAATGATTCCGCCAAATTCAAAGCATCATGTGTCACGTGGGGCCAAGGTCGGCGGCCCTGATGCGATCATTGCTGGCCGAAAGCTTGTGAGACATCATCATTTGTCACGGATTGTTCGTGAACACGACCGATTGCAAACTCCAACTGATTCACGCTAGCTTCAAAGAATAAGTTGGGATGTCCAATCAATCAACAGCAGATTGTTCTCAGGATCTTGCATGTAGTCAGTCAGTCTCTAAGCTAGGAAGAAGGTATGGCGGGGTGAGACATAGCCAATGGACCCTGCGACCGCTTTTGTAGGCTACGAGCTGCGGTACCTCAGTGTTGGAGCCATGAACCGTTCGCAAAGCATGCCAAAGCTGCGGCCAACCCGGGCCGACCGGGAGCGACGGCCTGGCTGTGCTTTGCTCATGTTGATCCACCTAACTCATGCGCTAACCGCCAAGTTGCAAGAGGTACAGTACCCGTTTTTCGAAGCGAAGCCAAGGCACCTTCAAGTCACAAAGTCTTTTACGGACAGAATCGCTTGCGCTGCTTGATGGCAGCTTTCAAGGCGTGCTAGTCCTGCTGTGTCAGTCAACTGCAGAAATCTGAGGATGATGCCAGCTCCTGTGCGGCTGGAGTTTCAGCGATACTCAGCCCCTTCGACTGGGCCTATGACACGCGCCTTGTTTTGCAAGTCACCGGCGTGTGCACTAGCCAAGGCTGAACAAGGACATGCATAAATTAAGCCAAGCAGTGATGAGGTGTAGGGGCGTCTGAAAACTGATACACCTACGAAGCAACAGCCGCAACAGCCAATATTCACTGTTTGCAGCTTAGGCAGCAATGTGAAGCTGGCATTAGCCCAAGTGGTAGCTATGGTGATGTCATGTCCGTTTGAGGTTTGGCTTGATAAGCACGTGCAAAAAAGCTGCTGCAGGTCAGCAAGCACTTCAAGTTTCAAACTTACATTGAGGGCCTTGAGAACCGCAGTGTGACACTGTCGCAGCTAGTCCAGATCACCAATTTTGCAGCGCCTTGATTTGCATGAGCCATTCAACATGTCCTGTTCAGGCGATTTCCCCGTGTCGCGCCAAGCCTGCGGTTGCGATAGCATAGCTCGCTCTGAGGTGCGACAGTGTTACAGCTGGGGCATGCCAGCCACTTCCCTGGATTTCTACAGCATCCACGATTGGATCGTGAAGCCAGCGACCAGGTCCCGTCACCATAGTGCACCCAGCATTTCATTTGTGTGTACGAAGCCCACGGACCAGCCGAATCCCATTGGCAGCTTGTAATCCCAGATGATAGCCACTGACATGAAGCTTGTGGGGCTGCAACGCGCAGCATGCCTGCAATCATTCGCTCGGTGAGGGAATTCAACAGCTCGATGATGGAGCACCTCTCTGACAGAAAGTTGGTTCCAAACTGGTGTCGCAGCTTAGTTTTCCGTTGCGCAGCACGAGCAGACAGCAGGTGCTGGTCTGATAGCTGAGGTTTGTCAGCCATTTCTGGGGGGACAGGATGCAAAAGTTCTTGGACTGCGTGAGGTGTCGCAACGGCATTCTTCATACAGACACATACAAATATGCAAGTTGAATAGACGTTGATGAGTGTGCAGCATGTGTGTGTGGGTGCGCCGCAACCCTGAGGCAGCACCTGACAGTGCGCGGGTTGAGCGCTAGAACTGGTTACTGGTTGTTTGCATTCGCAAGCCGGCACCACGCGCCGTGGCTGACATTATGCCTCTTGTGAATGTGAGGACACTGGTGCATTCGTCCACTGTTGTTAGTTTGCTTTAGGCATGAAAGAGTGACGTGGGCAGGGCTCGTTGAAAGGTCCCTCTCAGCTGCCCCTGGCCCTAGATTCTGTTATGCTAACGGGTGGGGTTGTACAATAACCCTCCTCGTAAGAAAACAGTCAAGCCTCAGCATGGGTTCCAAAGTTGCGAAGGGCGATAGGAAGAAGGCATCGTTGACGCCCAGAACCCCCATTATTAGAAGTACGAAGAGCAACATTCGTTGAGAAGAAGAGGGGCTTATACAGGGCTGGGTGGGGAATGTAAACAGGGATACTTCCTAGATTGAGGGCGCTAATGGAGAAAAAGTGCTATGCTCTTGCTCGTGCTCAGGATCTAGCACCTGATGCGACATCCAGCCTGGCAGAATCTCAAGCCGCCATGCGGGTCTTTCACTTGAAAAGAGGGGGTCTGGGGGATCTTGACTATCACTCCTTGTAAGTCTGAGGCGAGCAACTACCGCATACTGATGGTCATAGGACCTTCGCAAGATGCGCATACATTTTTTTGCCGTGCGTGGTGCGCATTTGAATGGGCCGGTGCCTTAGAAGTTTCGCGGGTGACGCAGTGCCCAGTAGAGCTCAAGTGTCAGGACTCCTTGACTAGGCAATATGCAAAGCTGTCAGGGCAGAATACAAAGCTGTTGGCAGACCTGATAAGACGTGCCACGCAGGGCTTTGTTTCTTCAGGCGATGTGCCTAGACTGCTCAGCATTCTCAGTGGACGTCGCTGTGCTTGATCAGGCCGACTTTGTTTTGCTTTGTGTGAGCTTGGGACCCAGCATGAAAGACATGTAGGATGTGGCGATCATAACGAGTGGCCTCACCACCTCTGAAGTTTGCTCCAATAAGCTCCCAGGTTGCAAAACACCTGTGTGAATCTATGCGGCTCCGGCTTCTCTCCGGCTCTGCTTCAAGCCTTCAGGTATTATCCAGGCAGCGGAGTCAGCGCAAAAAACCAAAGAGAAGCGTCCTTCCCATTGGCGGTCGTAAAAGCAGCTCGGCGCAACCGAAGTAGTACGTAACTCAAGGCATGTGACGTGGTGTCGTTTTTGTTGTGTCGCTGGCTGTCGCCGCTTGAGCGAGTTATGATGCCAAAGACAAGGAGGCCTCGGCCTTCAACCTGGAGAAGTCTCAGGCGAGTAGTGAGGCCGAGGGCTTTAGAGGGACGATGTTTTGGGTCTAGGGTAGCCAGGAGCGATTACATTGCTAGCCTGCATTTGTGGCACGTCCTACTTGTAAGTAATTTTGGTTTGATTTGGTAGCATGTGCTCCCAAGGCTCCGGGGCCTACATCGGCCATACTTCGTTTGCAGAATCTGATGCAAGGTGGATCGACAACAGCTGATGCGCTGTTTCCTCAGCATGGCAGAATCCGAGGACGAAGCTTCTCGTTTGACCTACATTCATGCTACTAACCTTTGGGCTGGTGTGATCTACATTATGTGAAGGACGAGACAGAGGGCATGCAGAAGATGACGAGGTTTCGGCAGATTACTGCGTGATGCTGCGCAACTTCAAGAGTTTAAAGCACGACTTGGAATAAATTGAATAATTGTCCCAGGCGCCTCCGAAGCTTCTTGCTCCTTCTCTTCTGGCAAAACATCCTGGTCCAAGCTGCTAGGGACAAGGACTACATGCCAGGCCCTCATTGGCAAGCACTTGATGAAGCATGCCGTGCAGCATGAGACGTGACAGCCGTGAGATGTTGTCTGCAAAAGCCAAGGCACGTGCTCGGCGACGTGGCGAAGGCCATTCAAGGCCCGTTGAGCGACGGGGTGCCATGTCTAGCAAAGATGTAGGGACTTAAAAGCTGTCACGAGGCAGGCACTTGCAGACAGTCCGCTTCTTTTGCCCCTTCCCACTTGGTCTGCAGCTGTTTTTGCTAGCACGAAGTTTGAACGCACAGGGAGGGCGTTTAGGCTGCAGTCTGGACTTGGACGGACATGGTTTGTTTGCGCCATTGCCGCGCACTACTTTGAGCGACCGTTCTGCCATCATTTTTGTTTCAGCAGGAGATTGGTGGCGCAAGTCACTGCGATTAAGCCTTGCCGGCTGCGATTTCTCCAATGAGGAGGTGTTGGCCATGGGCCTGCATCTCGACACCACTTGCTACATTTTTGCTACAGTTTAAAGGAGTTTGGTGCACCAGTGCTGATTTTGACCCCCATGGTTCCACCTGCAGGCAGAGCCTGCCAAAGAGCCTCGAGATCTTGAAGCTGGATTTGCAGTCTGAATCCCAGGACCTGCCTGGAATGTGGGATGATGTAGGACGAAGGATTTCGTGCTCAGGTTCACGGGCCTGGATGATATCAGTCTGCCACCGCTGGCGCAACAGTTCCCGCCATGTCTGCAAAGCCTTACGCTAGACATCTCTGGCTGCCATGTCACAGACAGAGGTGTCGTGTTGAAAAGGGAGCATCGCCCGCAAAAGAGTCACAAGAGTTCTTGCCACGGAAGGTGTCCTGGCTTTTCTGAAGAAACTCTCGCCGGATCTCTCTGAAGCTACCATCAAGATGCAGCACAGCAACGTATCGAAAGGTACGAGGGCGGCAGAGCTGGCAAAACATTTCTGAGCATGCTGACGTGGCCATCAGCTCGAATTCTGGATCTTTGCTTTTCAGGTCTGCTGGCGCTGAGCAGAGATGGCCCCAACGCGCTGCAGAAATGGGCTCTGCTCTCCCATCAGGAGTGCCTTGGCCTTCAGCTACATTCAGCATGCCAAGATTTATCTGATGTGGGGCACATCTGGCCATAGGTTTAGGTTTAGGTGGCTACGTTGCACATGCAGGGGCTTATGCGAACCAGGCGTGCGGAGGCGCTAGCTGCCAAGCTAGAAATCATCGAAAGAAAGAAGGCCACAACGGATCCGGACATCTGCTTGTCTCATGCCAAGATGCTTGCCCTCTAGAACAGCGCATGTTTTGTCAAAACATCAAATTGATGCCCAAACCAATGTAAGCCGAATTCCCTGGTCAGAACCCTTCTGTGGCTCCTAATCCGTCGCACGCAACTGGGCTGCATGCCGACAAAGGGGTTGCCAGTGAGTGCCAGCAATGGCCAGCAATGCTGCACCATTTTTTTCTCCAGAGGCAGTCAGATAGGCATGGTTGGTCTAGCGAACGTGACCAGGTTGGCTCGGCCTGTTAGACAGGTGTGTTCCGTGTGTGTACGGCTCCATGCTTGGCTCAGCGAGCATTTGCATCTTGGGTAGCACGTCCTGACTCAAAAGTCGCAAAGCTGCTGTGTAAAGGTGAACAAGAAAGCTGCGCTGGAGAGCTTGCTGAACCTGGCGCCTTCCAAGATAGCCGCCAACGTTCTCGAGCAAGTCAAGGCTGATCTGGCTGCATTGGAAAAAAGTATAGAGAAATCTCGTGAGAATCCACCCTAGCGGCTCTGGCTCTGTACAGAATTACAAGGCACGCCTGCAAAGCAGGTAAAGCCTCAGAAGCGCACAGGGTGTGTTGCTTTAATCACATTTGCAGTTTCATCAGCTCGACGCCCGTTAGGGATCAGCAACAAGTTGCCTGGTCTTTGGGCTTAAGGGCGCTGAATTTCTTTATTGGCAGATTTTCCTAGCCTGCATTGTGCGTGCTGCAATGGGAACTCAGACGTACAGACAGTATTGTAAACCAAACGGAAGAAGCACAGCATTCTTACAAATAAGGAATGAATGCAAAGACAGGATTGGTCCTAGACGTGGACCAATGAGATGGAGGTAGCTGTGTATGGAATGGCATTGCATATGCAAGGGTGCCAAGTGATAGAAGATTAACTTCGTGTTTCAACTGCGGCAGGCATGACATGGGGTCCACAGACTGGGGTCAACGCTGCAAATGCAGAGCATCAGGGCACTGAGCTGACAGCAGAGTCATCGGTATGGAGTTAAACCTGTCAAAGTGAGGCCGATGTCTTTTGGCATCGCATAGTACAGGCATTCCTGATGGAACACACGATCATAGCATCACAGTCGTTTTTCGGGTTAGATACATCATGTCGGGTGATTCCGGGTGTAGAAATTGACACGGCTGCTTAGGTAGGAAAAATTGGTAGAGCAAGTTCCATATTGTATGTAGACCCAGATGTGCCGGGCATTTTCGCACCATGCCGTTGCATGGCAAGCGAGGGCCATGCTTACAGCATTTGCTAATCCAGCTGCCACGGGCCCATCACATGTATTGTACAGCTCCCGTTTGCGTCAGTTCCTTGCCGGCGCAGGGCAAAAGGCGTTGACCAGCTCAAAGACCCAAGTTCTGCCCTGGACGCTGCGGAGCTGGGCTTTGCTCCTAGGTTTGGGAGCGCCGTTTGAGCGGGACACCTAGCAGACAACATTCGGCACTGAATCAAGATGAAGCGAGACTTTCTGGAGCACTGAAGGCGTAGCAGAGGCAGCGAAGGGCGCTCACTTTTGCGCTGCTGCCTTTGCAAGAATCTCAGCCTGAGGCAAGCTTGTTGTTTTTTCATCGGCTAGCTGCAGGTATTCCTTCCCAAGGCATGACATGTCGTGTTCACGTCATGGCCGGTGCTACCGTTTTGTGAACAAGGTGGTTCAAGCAGGGCTTAGTGGGGAGTTGCGTTTCGCTCCCTTCACGCCAAATTCTGGTCTCGCCCCACGCTTGATGCCTAGCTTTTTGAATTCCTGCGCACTATGCTCCACGCAGCACTGGCGCCATTTCAGTTCAGGATGGCATACAGCGAAGAACGTCTAGGAACTGCACAGCCAAATTCCCAGCTGTTTCGAAGACTTCGTCAATCCTGGGCAGATGTGCCAGTGTTACGCAGCAAAGGTCGAATGCCTCGAGGATGTCTGAATCGCGACGGGCCATGACCCCAGTGCATTTCGAAACTACCCCAAGTGTAGTCCTTTACAAAATCAAGACCTGTTACTTCTTCTCACAGGGGCAAGTCTTGAAACATTTGGAGGGATAGAAGTCTGTTCTTGGATGCAAGCCCGGCTCGCAACCTTGGTGCGATTCTTTCTGGTCGGATGCCACTGCAGCTGCAAGATGCCTTATGCCTTGCTTTCCCGGCTTTGTTGCTTGGTGTCCTTCCTTCCCCTGCTTGCTTGATTGCTTGGAAAAGCAGACGAACTAAACTGGTCATCCTTGGTATAATGAAAGATAATTCCAGCTCCGGATTCACAAGTTTTCCGTGTGAGGCGAAGCTGATGGACCTGAAACGGCGTGAGGAGCTCAAAGATGCTTTGATCGAGAAGTTCAAGGCCCGAGAGTTGGTAGAGTCGACGTTTCATGCCTCACGAAGCCCCAGCCGAACACTCAGACTCGGTTCGGCCACGGCTCCGTCCTCAAGGATGCAGACGAGATGTCAGTGTCTTCGGCAGTTGGGCGGCAAAGTGGCTTCCAGCATGCAACTCCACGCGGCAGTCTCGATTTCAATCCTCAGTGCATCACGATGCTAGGCAGCAATCCGAAACGAGGCAGCTTCATCCGGATGGCTTTGGATTGCTGCTACTGAAGAATGTTGGCAATAAATCCTCCCTTTGATGTGCCCTGAAAAGGTAGACCGCTTCGCTAAAACAGCAGCAGTGACAGAAGCGAACCTCATGCGGCTGGAAAGGTGCCACAATCTTCGCACAAAGAGTTTGGAACATGTTTAGGCTTGCACCACAGCTGCCAGCAGCCACAAGCCTTTGCCTGTTCAGACGCCTTCATGGTCGAGCTCAGAAGCGCGTTGCCGACGACAACTCGTCTGCTTGGGCCTCTAGCGAAGTGAAGCGCACAGCAGGTCCGCAATCAGCCTAGAACGTGATCGTCTGAATTTTGAAGGTTGGCCCAAACTGTTTGTTTCTTGCCGAGATGATCTCGGGCGTCTCTGCCTACACCGGCATGTCGCGTTCTCGCTCCGCGACTTCATTGGCAGGAAGGCCAAGAGACGAGCTAGCAGCAGCCATCGGTGATGTTCTTGAGCAATGCTGGGTTTCAAAACGGCTTCTTTCATGCCTGCCTCTACATGAACACTGCGTGTGCCTGTTAGGGAGCTTGTGGGAGCAAAGTCGGAGCTGCCATCCTCGTACGATTGGACCCGGCTAGACGAATATGCGCAGCTGTCCAAGCTTGAACTATACTGTACCTATCAAGTAAAGACTAGAGTGACTCATCCTTTTAGTGAGGGCAGCTTTTTGTTTTGTGCCTTGGCACTGCAAGGTCGTATCTGCATGAGCAAGATGCTCTACGTCAACAGTTGGGTGTGAAAGCTTTGCAGCGAAAGATGAGAATGGATCTGGATCAGCAGGCCGAGAGGGATTGAACAACTAGCTATGGTACATCACGTTCAGCCGTGTGGACTAAGTTGCAGACTCACACCCGGCTCGAAGCCACACAAAGGTGGCAGAGAAAGTCAAGAAGAAGGTTGATGCACATGACGAAGAGCGGCGCTACCATGAGTGTGGAGCTTGGGCATCGGATGGGCAGGTTCAGATGCACAAGTTGTCCCACCTTGTGCTGCTGAATTGAATGCCGGTTAGTATGCTTGCTTCGTTCCCCTCGCTCCAAGCAATTAATCTGCGACAGCAGCCGGCCGAATGCCGGTTAGCATGGCTGTGACCTGGCGCGTGCTGACCCATCGTGGGTACTGTGCTATGCCTGTGATGGACTGCCGCGGAGGAATTCCCTGATGGAACTCGAGCGCTGGAAAGAGCAAGAGCAGATCCGGCAGGCATGACATTGATTGCGAGATGCAACGTCTTGCTTCTTTTCATGCTTTTTTTTCCCGCACGCACCTCCGGAATTCACACGGAGTCACAGTCGTGCCAGCCATCAAGAAAGCCCTGCTTCCATAGTTACGACATCCAACATCCAAAGTGCTTTGGGCCATTGGGCATGCACTGCACATTTGCAATGACAGACTCTTTGGCCCTTGGGCAGCAGCCAATAGAGTAGCGGAATCTGGATATATGAAATTGAAGACAAGAGCATGTTGGCTAATTTCTCCAGAGGGAAGTGGCCTGCTCCACCTGCAATCTTTGGTGTGCTCTTTACACAGAACGAATTAAATGTAGAAGTTAGAGAAGCAGGAAGAAGCTCTCAAGCCTCATTCCGGCAGGATGAGAAGCAGGATCGAATCATGAAGGCGCGCGCAGCCAATTGAAAATCACAAGTTGCTTGCGAGCCTTGCAAGTCTTTCGTCTGTTGGCGAGCCTCTGACTCTAGACATGGGAGCAGGAGAAAGCTGACAGAGATGCGCAGCTGGAGTATGAGCAGCTTTCCCGCCATATCTTTGCCTTGCCTGTTTTCGACATGTCTGCTCCTCCAATTAAGGCGTAAGCTGAAGGATGACGAACAACAAAAAAAGAAGGATGAGGAAGCGCGGGGTTCCCATATTCATGCTGGCGATAGTCAGCACAGTTGTCGGAGATGCAGCTTTGGCGCAAACACGAGTGGCGTGGCTTAGGTCGCTGGTGGAAAAGATAGTAAACGAGATGGAAGCTGAACAGCGGCGTGCTTTGATTGCAGGAAGTGGGTGGTGCTAACCAAGCCCTCATCAAAGGAATTGCGAGCTGAATAGATTCTGCAGTGGAATGCTCCTGCTGTGCTGCAGGTTACGAGAGGAAGAAGGCTCGAGCGGTTCAATGACAACATCTGCCTGGCTATACCTTGCACTTTGGGGCCAGGAGCAGACCAAGAAAGCTATGCGAAAAGTGTTCGAGGAGAATATGGAGGCCGTTTGCTCGGCCCGTCATTCAGCCAAACTGGCCTGTTCCACAGCGCGGCAAGGACCAGCGAAAGCGAGACATTGCAAAAAAAGAAGCAATGGAGAAAGAGGCCAGAGCTGCAATTCTAGCTAGCACGCGACGCTGAAAGCAGACTCTACATGCTTGAGATTCGCAACACCGCCAGGCCGCAACAATAAAAGAGTACAACCGCCTGCTGGATGAACAAGAGGAGCAGCGTGCACAGGAACTGGCAGCTCGCATGGATCGCACTGCCCCGAGTTTTCAGCCGCAGAGCGATTAGGTTCCTTCACAGAAATGCCGCGCCTTGACAGTATCTAGAGCCGGGCTGGTAGCGGTCAAGCGAAGCTCAAGTGGACCTCGGCTTGCTCACCAGATCCAATAGGCTCACGGGCTCACCCCATGAAAGCATCGGAAGCAGGTCTTTCCTCGTAAGTCTAACCCGGTCTGGCCCAAGGACAGGCAGACTTGATGAAGAAGCTGCAAGAGAACGTAGCAAGAGGCTCAGGCGCTTTGCGCGGCTCTTTCTTGTTGAGACAGGTCTAAATGAGACAGCTGCTGTTGGCCGTTGCGAAATGCCACTAAGGACACTGTCAAAAAAGGAGCTGGCGACAATGATGCCCAAAGAGCTCTGTTGCAGGCAGAAGAGCAAGACAGGCATATCGACTCCTGCAACTCACGGGCCCACGTGCTTTTGACAGTTAAAGCCAGAGCACGCAAGCTGGGAGGCATTACTTCGAAGCTGAATCTGTCAAGCAAAACCGTCTACAGCAGCGGCTAACTCAGCATTTCACGAAGAAAAATACAGTGTGATGGCCTCCAGCCATTTTTGTGTTGGGCTTGCACGTGAGGATGCGGCTGGAGAATCAAGCCTATCTCCTGAAGCAGATGGAGGAGAAAGACTCGCGGAAAAACGAGGCAGGAATGATCCCCAAAGCGGCAGGCAGTCTAGCATGGGCCTCCAACTCGCTTTAGGACAAGTACCTCCAGCAAATCCAAGCCCAGATCCTGGAGCGTGATGCAGAGGCTGCATGCAGAGGCTTAGTTGGCAAGGTGGCAGGAAGTCATTGCCATCAGGAGTACAACACAATCGAGAAGCAGAAAGTTGTTGATCGCAAACTCCGCAATCTGGAGCACCGCAAGGCCGTCATCCATTCCGATGCATTCACTAGGCAAGCATCATGCAGCCGCGATTTAGGACATAGAGCGACAGATGGAATACAAAGCTCGCCAATCTGTTCCAGAGATGAGCAGCCTCGGCTGCAGATTCAGAACTGCCCGTCGAGGGCTCCTTTGCATATAACGCAGCTCTGGTTCTGCTTCCTAAGCTCAGAAAAGTTAGCAGGGCGTAGGGCGTAGGGACAGCGTCCGAGGTGAGGCTGAGATTCAGCTGAACAGGCTGGAATCTTGCAGTCTCTAATCAAGGTAGGCCAGTGGCGGTTCTTTTGCTGGAGTAAGGCCACTTTTGCTGCTCGTGGAGCAGACTCTGCAAACCCGCGATGAGAACTTGAAGAAGGCACAAGAGATGGCGCCAGTCCTGGAAGAGGACCGAAAGACCAGACACGGCTATTGGAGAATGGCCAAGATTGCTCATGACTGGAGGATATGGATGGCGACATGTGAGCGCACCTCAAAGTTAGGCCAAGGTGTTAGATAGCCAGATAGCCTATCGCAGCCGGCATTTTCTGAGCATGCTTAGCCAAAAGCTACTGTGCTGAATGTTGAGTCAGAAAGAGAGGTATGGGACTTGTCACTGTCTTAGTGCATGGCATGGGGATCAGCTTGGACCAAGCGCACATCATGTCACGGCTAATGCATGATGAACTGAAAACACTTTCGAACGTATGTCTCAGCGCTTGGGCCATAGTGAATGTTTCCAGAGGAGCAGGCACAAGAATTGCTGACCCATGGCTTTCACCATGTCTCACCCACCACCCTTTAGAAGAGATATCAGGCATCCTGCCCACCCTTCCGTCACAGAGCATCCTTCTCCTGGACAAATAACGTCCATGAACCGGATTCGAGAAGGCCGTTTCACTCTTTGCAAGTGGTGTCCGTGCATTGAGAAGTTCATGGACCTAAGCATTGGCATCCAAGAGATAGCCTAGCCAGTCGGCCGTTTTTTGCTAGGCCCTAGGCCCTACTGCTTTGACATTAGATACACATTTCAGCACATTTGGCACGAGAACGCCGCTCGACGGAAGCTGTTGCATAGATGATAACGCCCAAAAGCCCCGGTTTGCGCCGTGGAATGAACGGGGTCTGCTTGTGAGTTGCATAGGATGGCTGGAGTCACCGCACTCAGGATTCGAGCCTGCTGAGCGAGACCGAGCGTGCTGAGGCTTTTGCGGATTTCCGGTCAAACCACTAGGAAGTCGCTTGCATTTGTTGCGCTCGTTTAGGCCAAGGCTGGCCTTGCGCGCTTGCAGCAACCCAAACTTGTCAACTGCATTCTGGGCTGCTCTTGGGCACAGCAACTGCCAAGGCTGGAGCGATTGAGCTGGGACAGGCAGCGTTGGTCCACGGAGGAGTCCCCGACCTGTGGATGCACTTGAACTCACAGGGCTCGTGGCAAATGACTGCCGAATCACTTGCTTACTTTGCGCAGGGCATGATGCTAGTCCCACCTCACTACGCGGATGGAGACATGAGTTTTGCATGTGCTCCGTTGGCAGGATGCCAGATTGGTGAAGGAGGTTGTTGCTTGCTTGCTTCCTGTCATTGGGGTTTGTGAATGTGAATCAAGGCGGGATTGTTGAAGGTGGCAACCCTGCTGCGGTCGGAATATCCTGAACTGCTGCAGACCAGCTGGGCAGGGCTCTGCAGCACATGCACACATTTTCAGGCAGAGTTGAACGAACTTGAGTTTCAATCTTGCTCTCAGGCACCACGGTCGGTCAGGAACCTGGCTGATGATGCTGCCCAGATTTCGGCGGTGAGGGTGCGTTAACAAGTGTTCAACTTTGCAGCGGTTGCGCTGAGGTCCTGGCGATGATTGATTTCATACGGTGAAAGTGCCATGCAAGACCGACAGCCCGCTTTGCAATANNTAAAAAAAAAAAAAAAAACCTTCCATAATGCTTGCTACGTAGGTTCAATTCAGCTTGCAGCTCTGCAGCTCCCCACATCAAAGGTAAAGGAAGCGGCAAAGCCTGGTCACGCATTATTCTCGACTGTCAAAGTGGGGTTAGCTTGTTGCCGCGCACACAGTCTTTGCGTGTCAAGCTGCCCTGGCCTTGCAGTTACATATTGGTTGAGATATGCTGATTGACGTTCTTGTTCTTTATGCTCCTTGGGCTTGCTCAGGCAGTTCGCAAGCACCAGGGCTCGTCAGAGGAAACTAAGTCCTTTGCCACCTCATCAGAATGCACGGACGCGAAATCGGATCTCAGCATCGCATGGTTCCTCAAAACGTCGGTCTAGCCACAGCGGCGGCATGGGCAGCGTGGATGACGATCATTCGGGTCATTCCGGTCCGGTCGTCGAAAAGTCGGCAGAAGAACAGCAAGCCGACAGAGACCGTCTGGATTTCATGTACAGAGAAACTCTTTACGTCCATATAGTTTCAACCAAAGAGCACACTTGCGCACTGCCATGTATCTAAGCACACCTTGCAGCTCCAAACCCTGAACTCACGTCTGGCCCAAAAAGCACAATACCGCCAGAATGGACGGAAGATCTTGGTGACTTCAGGGTGATTGCTTCAACGAATACGATCCCAAACTGCCTCCTGCAAGCCACTGGCGCAAACAAGCTGGCGCCTGTCCCCCAGCAAACAACCAGAGGCAATCCCGAAAGACCAATGCACAAGGCGAATCCTCAATATCTTACTAGATTTGGCGGAGGAAATCCGTATGGAGCCCCAACTTTGAATATTTTCGATAGAAATTTTATAATTTTTGACGATTTCTCGGATTTTTTGGCCATCGTCGGATCTTTTTGATTTGTTACATTTAGAATGAAGAGATTAGCATAAGAAATTGAGAGATTTGAATTAAATCCTTTGCGGCCATTTTGACCGCGCGCGGCCTAGCTTTTCCGGCTCAATTCTAAAAGCTTCTTACGAGAAACAGAACTATGTCGCGATTCGAGCTTCGAATTGAAAATTTCACTTCATTCGTCTCTAGATGATTATGCGTATCTCTATGCATAGCACGGACGATAATAATAAACCGCATGAGATGAGATAGGAAAATCTCGTTAGATTCTGAGAGATTTATCTATATTTTTGGGCTCTAATTCGTTGTTTGCGTTGTGGGTCGGCAAAGACCCGCGGCGGAGATCTAAAAGCTGCCTCGTTAGGGATATTTCGTGATAGGCGACTGCTTCTGGGAGGAATTTCTTGCTAGATATGGCAATGTTTCTGAATACGTATTTCTCTCAATTGCCGCTAGCCTGGTAATTTTCATTTTCAAAACACCTACGTATATTTAGGATACGGGATATCAAATTACAAGGAAATAGGATTTGGAGTTGTATGCATTCTTTTTTTTCCATATTAGATAGCTTGTCGTTACGCGTCATTCGAACCATGATGCTCCGTTATTGGAAAGCAGCGAATCTACTCTAGAATTTCTATTAGCTTGACTTATATATATTTTATTCTATTTGAATTGATTTGATTTTGATTTCATTTCATTTATTATTCTCTATAATTTTTTTGCTACATTTATCTATATTGGTATTCTATTATATTTTATTTTCTAATTATCAATTCGTTTATTTAGATTTCTCTATATTATAATGCGGCCGCTTGCGATCGTTTTGTTCGCGCACAAAATTTAGGAGAGCTAAAGTTTCGGAAATTTTAGAATCTTTGAGAAGAGCTAGAATTTCTAATATTTCGGAAATTTTCGATGCGGTCGGCGCGATTGAAAAGCTCTGAGATTTTTGTGGTCGCTTGATTCTAGAACGGAATATAAGAGCCTGGGATGGAATTCCAAATATTTTTGGAATTCGTAATTAGATCATATCTATCTACGAGTATATATGCGTTTCTCCGAGTCGCGCCCGCCGCGCAGATAAGTTAGAATCTAATAGAGATAAATGATTGAAATAGAAAAATGAGTTGGATATAGGAATCCCACGATTCGAAAATTCTCTAGATTTGGAATTATTTCTCTCTCTCTTCGATTGATTGCGCAGCAGTTTGGTATAGGCCCGGGGCAGGGATCTAAAATCTTTCAGAATTAGTTGATGTACGTATTTATTTGTTCTGGGGTTTTTGATTGTCGGCGCGGCTATTCCGAGGAGCGTGTAGACCCGGGACGGAGGAAGAAAATTTTTCTATATATTCATGGCGATTTACGTGCCTCCCCTTGAATAATCGTATAAATAGCCCAAAAGAGATAAATGAGGCAGAAAGATTGGATATGGGAGCCGTAGGATTATAAATCTCCCAAGATTTGAAAAGGAGAACGGTTCTTCAAATGAAGAGGAAGAAATCTCGTTATTCAAGATTTCTAAGAAATCTAATTAGATATCTTCATATTCGTTTGAAGGAAAAAGAAGGATAATAAGATTCGACGTCCGCCTTCCAATCGTGAAATCCTATCATCATCCGCCACGAATTAGACGGGAAGGAAGATGCCGAAAGAAGGGAAAAAGAATAACGTAATAATATCTCAAACGAATTGAAGAAGTAATGAGAAAATGGGATATTCTATCTCCAATCATCTATTCCCTTAAGGCCCGTCCCCTCAGATTCAGAATCATCATATCCTGCGCGTGGGATCCTGATATCAATTTCTATGATCATGGTCCCTCAGAATATATTTGCAGGAATTGAATAGAACGATCATTATTTCTCTCTCTTTGGCTGTTTGCGCGGCGGCCCGGCGGAATCCAAGATTCGGAGCGAAGATCTAAAATCTTTCAGAATCTGCATGCTAGATGCAATTCAAATTCAAGATAATTCATCGATCTATACATACGATCTTATATTATTTGATCATCGGATTTTCTGAAATAAATTTTCTCGTATGAAGAATCAATTCTAATATTTATAAGAAATCTTTTTCTATAAATCTATTATATATGTATAGGATATTGAATTTATGATGATTCAGGATTTGATTCATCTTATGATATTCTTTATATTCCTATTATGAAAATATTTCGATAGAATTTTATAGGAGAGCTTATTATTAGATTTTGGTTTTTAGAGAATTTAATATTCTTAATTTGATATTTCGTATATAATCTATTATTTCAAAATTCTTCTCTGAAATCTTGTATATTTTAATATCAATATGATTTGATATAAGAATAACGCAAATAAAGCGAAATATCTTTTCTTTCTATTATAGAAAATACACCTCAATATTATGGCGGGGCCACTTGCGGTCATTTCGCTTGCGCGCGGCCTAGGTTTTCCGGCTCCCCTTTAAATTGCCTCCTCTAGGGACTCTGAAGTCTCGGAGATTTTAGAGCTTTTCGGAAAAGCTAGAGGCTCTAATATCTCTGAGATTTTTAGTGCGGGCGGCGCGGCCAAAAATCTCAGAGATTGTTGGTCGCGCGGCCCTTGTCGCCTCTGGAGCTGTTTTCCACGTGATTTATCTCTCTTTGGCTGTCTGCGCGGCTGCTCGGCGGAAAGCATAGATCCAGGACGGAGAACCAAAATC